TATATTTGTGGTATTTTAAGCCACTAAGTTTGTGGTAATTTGCTATAGCTGCGATAAAGTACTAATACAGGAACCAAGTAACAGAGGTTACTTACTAATATTACATGTTTTGTGTTAAGTCATTCCGAGGGCAATTGGGGGATTTGAAGCAAGGAAGAGAAATGGTCAGTTTGCCATCAAATAAAAATTTGATAAAAGATGGCTTTTTGGGCTAAATGGTGGCAGGGAGATGTTATAAGACTGTGGCAATGGCACAAACAAATATCCAATGAGTGGCTTAACTGGGGAAGTAGTGTAGGAACAGATAGGAGGGGGCCAATCAATTTTGTTGATAAAATCCATGGGGGATTTAGGGATCAATTGAATGTAGGGGATAAGAGGAAAGTAAAGTATCTGGAAGTATTACCCAGTTTCTGGCTTGGGTAAATGCTACTATTGTCACTGAGATGGGAAAGGCAGCAAGAAGAATGAGGCCCTTGTTTTTTCCCCATTTTGGTGAAAGGAATGTGTGTATGTTTGTGTGTGCGCTGAGATTTCAGTACTTTGAATTTGAGATGATTGTGGGACATCCATGTGGAGACCTGCCAGTAAACTATATCCCAGGCTCAGATTTCAAATTTAAGAGTCCTAAGGACATGAGTGGAATCAAAAAAAAGAGAGTAAACTGTACTGATTAAGGAAACAACCTTTAGGGCCACCATTTCACAGCAATTATCATTCTTCCTTAATCTTTGATAAAAAGGGTAATTATTGACAAGGCTGCTATAAGAAATAAATGTTTAAAATTGTGTTTAGCACAGTATATAGAATTAGTAAATTCTCAGTAAATGGTAGGTGTTATTATTAGATTGTCCAAGAATAATAAGGAACAGCAGTGAGCCAAAGAATTTATGAAGCTGAGGCCAAACTCCTGGCAGATCAGATACAGTCTCTGCCTTCAACTTTGAGTAGCTTCTTAAAGGCAGGGCCCATATTTCACTCAATGCACTATATCACAATACCTATCTCCATAACTGGCCCAAAGAAGTCAGGCACTGTGTAAATTTTGTCTGGATGGTTGACAAGTGAAAGAGAGGTAATTAAAATAAAGCAGTGATATGTTTATAGCAGCACGATTCACAATTGCAAAGATTTGGAAACAACCCAAGTGTCCATCAATACATGAGTGGATTAAGAAAATGTGGTATATGTATACCATGGAGTTCTCAGCCACAAAAAACAATGGTGATCTAGCGCCTCTTGTATTATCCTGGATAGAGCTGGGAGCCCATTCTGCTAAGTGAAGTATCACAAGAATGGAAAAACAAGCACCACATGTACTCACCATCAAATTGGTATTAACTGATCAACATTTAAGTGCACATATAGTAATAACATTCATTGGGTGCCAGGCAGATGGGAGGGGGAAGAGGGGATGTACGCCGTCTGGGGGATGGGCACGCTTGAAGCTCTGACTCTGGTGGGGCAAGGGCAATATACGTAACCTGAACATTTGTACCCCC